ATTTTAGTTTTTTTTTGCATTTTTTTATATTTTAGCAACCAAATAATTTATTGCTAGTTGTCCTCATTAATTCCCCATCACTGTAAATACTTTTCTGGCGTACATAACTACTTATGTATGTACATACTATAATTAAAAAAAGAAAGCTTTTGATGCGATAATCAGTGTGTGCAACGAATCATCTTCACGCTTTTCAACTTAATTTGAATCACAATAAATTTTTCTTGAAAAACATTCTTAAATTAATTGTAAACAAATTTACGCTTTCAAACGGCTATTCATCAAGTATTTAATCGCATTAGGTACTGTATTTGTATACATACCTGCTGGAATGACATCTCCAATTAGTTAGGAAAAATAGCAAAGTGCAGGGTCTCTCCACTAAATAACTCCGTTTAGAAATAAATCAGTCTCATACTAGTTCGAAACAGCCAGTAGTCGATTTTACTGTTGGGTACACATACAATATACTCGTATGTACATGTACGTAGATATGAATGTATGTTATAAGTCAACATGTTTACTTTTGGTTATTTATTTCAACAAGCTAGCAATTGTTTAAATTTATATTGGAAGTTTGATTGATAAAATATAAACAAAAGTGATGAGGGTATTGAAAATTTGCGAAAATATATAAACAATTGCAAATTCACCCATACATTAGAACGGGTCGATTTACAGGGAGCGAAAATTGCGTTGCGGGAAATGTCCTACGGATCGTTTTGAATAACTTTTTCTAAGTGACTATAGGTCTTAAACCAGTTTCAGCGGCTTTTTAGAGCGAAGTTTTGCCGGAATAAAAATTTGTTCATTGGTTGTTGAGATATCCGAAAGAAATTTAATACGTAGGTATATTTTCCGTATCAATTAAGAACTCATACTTGGAGACAATTTCTTGAAAGTGTCTATCAACCAAATTTTCAGTGTACGAAGCGAAAAAGAAAGCATTCGTATTGTTACCCTCCTTAATATATCAGGTATACCGGAATGAAGTGATTGTCAAGATACAAACGTTTTGGTAAGGAAAATTTGTTGTGAACAAGCCTTCATTTTTTCTGTTTGGTTGGCATGACATCTGTCAAAGATATTCAATAACCTCACAGTTAATACTAATCGCTTATTTAAATTGTGTTGAAAATGTCAAATTTTGTACCGAAATATTGTGATTTCATGACTTCCGAAAAGCATTAATTTTTGCTTGTCGAGGCAAATGGTGAGCATTCTCTATCAGAAACAAAAAGATGGTTTCAACGGTTCGGAGATAATGATAATTTGATGTGAGAAATGTAGAATGTGGAAGACCACCAAACAAGTTAGAAGATGCCGAATTGCAAATAATATTGTATGAAGATGATGCAAATGGCAACCATGATAAATGCTGCACAACAAACAATTTCAGATTGTTTGAAAGCTATGGGGAAGATCGAAAATTGTGAAAAATGGGTGCCATATAAATTGAATGAAAGACAAATGGAAAACCGGAAAAACACTTTCGAAATTTTGCTTCAAAGACACGAGAGCAAATCAGTATTGTAACGAATTTTCACTGGCGATGAAAAATAGATTTATGTTAAGAATTCGACTGCGAAAACAGATGGATTCGGTAAGAAGACAGTGTTTTGCATTTGGTGGGAACAGTAGGGTGTGGTATATCATGAGCTTCTAAAATTTGGTGAAACTGTTAACACAATCTCCACAGACAACAAATTATCAATTTGAACCATGCATTGATCGAAAAACGACCAGAACGAACCAGAAGACACCGCAAAGTTATTTTGTTACACGTCAATGCACCTACACACAAAGCAAAGGCGATTCAGAATGCAATCAAAGTACTTGGCTGGAAGCTACCCCCGCCCTACCGCCCTACCCGCCGTAGTCACCAGGCTTGGCCTCTTCCGATTACCATTTGGCAGAGGACTTTTATTTTCACCGAATAAAAATTCTGGTCCGTTCTCGCTACGTAGAGCCGACTTCCTTGGAGCGGTATAATATTTGGCTGTTGTTTTTGTTGTTGTAACGGTTTCCTAGTCCCCGTTAGGATTGATAAGTTGTCATCACGGCCATCCAACGGTAGACCCAGGAAATGTGCTATTTCGTCTGAGTCGAACCATAGGGAGACGGGTGTTAGGGTTAGCGGAGCAAACAAATTAACCACGTGTGTCCTGCGTGAACTCGTTGAACGCTTTACATATATTTGACATGTGGACGTCGATTTTGCATAAGTATTAGTTTAACCTGCTTAATTCAAAGTACGCCATTCACTGAGAGGGAGTCGGTGAAGGTGTTATGGCTCCACTGTGAATGGCGGTCAGTGCATGTCTGAAGTGTATTGGGTCCGAAGTCAGGTCAGCGTTTTGTTTTATTTCGTCGATGGTTGGGCGTCGGAACAGGTAACTGCTGGAATGATTTCTACTAAAGCATCCCAGTAGAAACTACTTGAAGAAAAGTTCATTATGCTACTTAACAGAAAGCATGAGAGCCTTACCCTGCAGATTTTCTATCGAGGACATCAAGAGGCATGGAGTGCAGTGTTATGAAAGTTCTGTAGCTTCGGTCCTTTGTTTTTTCATGTAAGAAGTGAAATAGCACAGGCTGTCGATTGTCACACCTAAAATTTAAGGGGGTATTCTAGTCTAGAAATAAATTTTTTGAATTTTATTTCAAAAAAACCAAAAAATATTTTTACTATCCATTGTTTTATGGTGTTTTTTTATTGATATCTTAAGCATACAGAAAAAAATTGTTTACAAAAAATATATTAAAAATTAAAATTAATAAGGGGGGGAGGGTGGTTTTTATGTTGAGAGACAGGGGTTCACACAAAATTTCAAGTAAATCGGTTGTATAGAACTTGAGATAATGCGTTTAAAAAAGTGAGTCAAATTTCAGGCTGTCTAAGTCATTTATTAGTGCGCTAGGTACTGCGTCACTAAAGTAACTGTAGCTCTTAAAATAATTTTAATTTTTAAAAATCCTTTGGAGGATATGTTCTTACAGGTCTAAACTTTAAATATATGAAAAAAATGTATTTTTTCAAAATTCTACAGTAGAATACACCCTTAAGGGGTTTTGTCGGACGGAATCTTAACGTCATCGACTGCAATATTAAGATCAAGGCTGTACTCCAGTTAGTGAATATGGTCTCTGTGTATTTAGTGAGAGAGAGAATTATCTTCCGTGCAGCGAGTAAGCGAGAAAGCTTGCAGAGATAGCCGTTTGTCTGGCTCATATAATTTTTATCTGCATGCGACTATTCACTCAACTCTACAATTGCTTCGTTAAAAATCAAACAATTTCAATTTTATTTCGAATTTATATTTCAACATTTATTATTTCGAACACTTCCTTTGCCTGCCATTATCTTTAACGTTCACTGACTTTGCTAATAATTCCGTTATTTTAGCCATAACACATACACGTACATACAACGAATAGTGTGTGTTACGGATCGCATGCCTCTATGATGCATATCCAAGTTGCTATTTTCTGTTTTACTTTAGATATTCTTTCTTTAGTTATGTTTTTATTTATAAATTATTACATATGCCTAAATGTATATTTATGTTGATATATATAGTATGCAGTTGCAACGATACAAAATTTCTTTTGATTTCATTTAATCTTTACATAATAATTTGTTACTAGCTGTAAATTTTTGTTTTATTTTTTTCTTTTTTTATGATTTGCATGGTTTACCGTTATCAGTATTTAAATTGTTAAATACAATAATCTTTCTTTATACATATTAATTGAGAGCGTTGTTGTTGTTTTAATATCTTTAAAGTTTATTTAGATAGATTAGCCGTCGCGGCGTAGACGATTTTGTATTAATCTTATCGTTTAATTTATATATTTATATAAAAACTGGTATAAAATTTCCAAAGTTGATTTATGCTCCTCTGGGCATTCAGCTGATTATGGCCCTGGATTCCGCTGCACTTGCGAATGTCACGTAAATTAAATATCTACGGGTAGCAAAAATATTTTTTTTGGGAGTTTCACATACACACACACACATGTACATAAGTAAATATGATTCTACTAACTACCGCAACCGACAGCAATAAGTTGAGGAATATGGTGTTTTGTATTTTTTTTTTTTTTTTTTTTTTTTTTTTTTTTTTTTTGTTTTTTTTTTTTTTTTTTTTTTTTTTTTTTTTTTTTTGTTTGGGTGAGGTTTGCCTTTATTTTGTCTTAACCTAAAGCTAATTATCCATAATTTTTTATATATTCACATTTCCATTTATACCTTATACATATGAACATGTAAAGCTACTTGGTCGCTTGACATAAGACGTTTTCGCGCGTTCTTAAGCGTAAGCAAATGTGAAAAGTAGTTATATATGATTTAAATATCCATATATTTTTGGATGTTTGTTTCTCATAATTTTAAAATAATTTATTTTCTTTACGAGTGCGCTGAACTAAGAACTAACTACATAATAGCGTAAATTTTGCTGAATTTTTCATATGTTTTCTATTTAAGTTGCGTTATGGTGTGCATATAACAGTAAATAACAAAGCAAATTACATTTGCAATCAAGTAATAAGGTACAAGGTAGAGTTGCGCACGCACAAGCGCATAAGTCGGTGCTGCCTAGCATTGCCTTCACGTGTTTACGGGTGCGCCGAACCATAACTCGGCCTTTATGGGTTTTATTTCTTTTGTGTGGAAAATTCACTTGTAGTAAGCCATTATACTTAACGGTTTATTTAGTTAGTGCAATCGTTTATTGCTTATGCACCTGCATACCTACATACATATACAATATGTACTAATTTGAATTTTAGCTACCTAGTTTAGTATATGCAACATTATTTTAAATGAGTCATTATTGTCAAGTGTTGTTTGTAGTTTAATTAAATAAAAGCAAATACGTTTTTAACTGCAATTGCGCACCACATGTTGCCAGTGTGTTTGTGTAATTATTTTCTATAAAAAATTAAGTACTTTAAATTATTAATTTACAAACAAATTGTCATACACACACACCTACCTTAACTAAAACTAAGTTAAAGCACTGCATATGGCGCCCTAAATTCCCTCAACGCGCCGAGATGCCGTTTACGACGACCACCTCCTTGAACAGCAACTATTAATGCACGCCATTCGCAATGGTCGGCTTGCGTTCGTATGTACGCCGATGCATGTCGTCCACGGACTGTAAGTAGTAGGTGCCGGGAAAGAGAGCGCTTACGCTGCCGGTCGGCGTGTATGGCGCCGCATGATTGTTCTTCTCGCGCACCTCCATCAGTTGGGAGAACAGTTCGGGTGCAACTTTCTCGCGCGAATTTAGCATCGGTAAAATATAATCCAATTTAGATACGAGCTGCTTGAAAGTTGCAGCTTCCTTGGTCACTTGCAGTGAGTACATTGTGGCCGCCAAACCGGAGCCATACGAGAAGAGGCCAATGCGTTTGCCAATCAGTCGCTCCGGTGGCGTATTGATGAGCAATGAGACGAGACCAGAGTACACGGACGGTGTGTACATGTTGCCCACCTGATTGGCCAGCAGCAATGATCGGCGTGTTTTCGTTTCGAAGACGTCAGCGAATTGTGTCATGAAGGCTTTTTCCACATCGCGATCGAAGTAGGTTTGCGCCAGCGTGCATTCGTTGAAGCGCTCCAAGCCGGGATATTTCAGCGCACGCTTCTCAATGCTGCATTGTAGAAAATCATTGAAGACGACGCGCGCCACTGACTTTTGCACTAGCTTGCAGAAGGGCGTATGGAAAAGTAGAGCTTCGAAGTTATCCAATGTAAATTCAGCCTCTTGCGGATACTTTTTCGCAAACTTCTTGCAGTACAACTGATAGCATGTGTCCAGCGCGGAGAGATAACACTGTATCGATAATTTGCCATCAACTGTGGGATACTCCGAGCTCAAGTCGGGCTTATAGAAATCGTAGGCATGTTCCATGTGTGTAGCGCGTAGACCGCGCTCGAAGACGAGCGGCGCATTCGGTCCCACCAACATAGCAATGGCGCCAGCGCCACCTGTGGGACGTGCTGCGCCCTTGGCGTACACAGCAATATCAGCACAAACTGCCAATGCATAACGGCCATCCCAGCTGGACGACTCTATCCAGTTGATGGAGTTGAAGAGTGCCGCTGTACCGCCGTAGCATGCGTTCGTTGTATCGATGCCCTCAATATCTGTGTTGCCCGAATCGGCAAATAGTTGCATTAGCACCGATTTAACGGATTTTGATTTGTCAATAATAGTTTCGGTGCCGACCTCCAGACGTCCGATTTCTTGTGGCTTGATTTGATAGCGTTCCAGCAGGCGACTGACTACAGTGAGGCACAGTGAGTTCACATCTTCACGATCCGAGCAGAAACCCATTTTCCCTTGACCCAAACCGATGGTGTATTTACCCGCTGAGGCGCCATCAAATTGTTCCAATTCCGTCTGGTCCACAAACTGGGATGGGAAGATCGCCTCAATGGCGCGTATGCCAACATTTTCGGGCCACATTTGTAAATATGATTATTTGTAAGGATATGCGAGTTGAAATTTGAGCTTGACTAGTACTTTATTAGTAGTTGGTTATAGCTGACAATGGAGAGCTGAGTTGGTAATGCGCTTGGGTGAGTGTTAGACTGCAAATGAAAAGAAGTTAGCTATTAATAACGGTTTATATATTGCTATGGGGGACACTGACAAGACAATTATATAGAAATTATCATTGTTTTTTTTTTTTATTCACTATCACATATAAGCAAATCGTTCGTGAAAGTTAAGGAAAGAGCGCTTGACAATCGTCAGGTTGACATCAGAGAGATATGGATTGACTCAAGACAATTTGTTTAATACATTGGATATAAATGATGTCAGTACCAAAAGATCTGAATCGTCGAACGGCGTCGTCTAAAGGTCGCAAATAAATTACTTGACAACGTTGCTGAGGACCCTACATTCATCAAACGTATCATTACTGGTGTGGTCCAATATTCCAATGGATAGCGATCCAAAAATGAACCTATACCGAAAAAACAATAAGTCGCTGAAGGCACTGATGGCCATACCAACCAAGGTTTATAACTAGAATTAAGTCTTGGCATGCGTGCATTGGCTCATGAGTTTATTTTATGGGCGATAATAAATATTTGTAATAAATTTGTATTTGTATGAAAATATTAATAGTCCGGGTCAAATTTAATCAGCTGGTAATAATGACCTACATTTAAGAGGGAAGAGTTTCTTCGAACTAACAAACGTCTAGTCTTCACACCTTCAATTTATCTTAACGAGTTTAAGATCCCGCAATATAATATACTATATTTATTTGATTGAAAAAAATATTCCAAATATATACTTGTAGCAGTTAAGAAAGTTTCAGACTTTCTGACTATTGCAGTGTCTTCTAGGCCGAAGTTGCAAGGAAGAGAAGTGAGCATTCACTCAGATAGCAGAGCGGCGATACTAGCCTTGAACTTATTAACAGTGCATTCAGGGCTTGTCGAAGAGTGCCTAACCTCGCTATCAATAGCAGCGAGTGTCTTTGTGATAAGACTGATATGGGTGCCAGGGATTGGTGCTTCCGTATCCTCTACTGCTAAATAGTTGGGCTTCGCTGAAGTTCTCTCTATTGTGGGACTTTCAGTCATTGTTTTATTGGCGTTCACGCAGTAAGGCTGGGAATCCTTTGAAAAAAGTTGTGAAACTGTGTGCCACACAAATTTTAATTGCAATTTTTTGCTTTGACACAAAACCATAACAATACTAATTATTATAAAAACAAATCGATATAAATACAATGGTGAAAAAATTTGCAACCATAACTATATACATATGTATGTAAAAAATCGTTAAAAGTTCACATTTCTATAATAAATAGAGTCCAATTCTCAATTGGTATCGCGTCGAAGACCAAACGTGCAAAGGTTAGCTTCACGCTTATTTACCGTGCGGAAGCGCAAGCAATTTACATAAACATGTATGCATGTACATACTTAGGTAGTAATTTTCGTTTTCTTGTAAACTGGTATAAAGCTGGTAAACCTATATACCTACTTATTTCCAAATATTTGACACACGCACAACTTTCACCTGTTTGCACGACGAATTCTTTCAACAATTTAACACAAATTTACACACACACACACATGCAAGCATAAAAACACAAACAAACGTACGCTGATGAGTTAACTCTGCTGCTTGTCTGGCTGTTAGCACTAAATAGTTTAATAGTTTTCTTAAATAAACACTCGTCAAAGCTACGAAATAAAGCCTGCCGGACGGAGTAGAGCCGAGTGAAAGATCAAAAACACAGAATCGCAGGCCGCGGGAACACACTATAACTTGAACACTGAAGCGCTGAAAGCCAAATGCACGCGACAAGAGACCCAACAGCGTTGAAGAGTCGCTAGCTTTGGTCGATCAGACCGAACGTCAATTCCGTCAACAGAGCGGCGCGCGAAGCCAGCCCAATTGAGTGTCCAATTGCTGGTTGTACGGCTGTATGTGTGTGTGGCTTCCAAAATATGAATGAATGAATGAATATTTCAAGTAAAACTATAAAAAAAAAAGAATATTAAATTGAAAATCGAAATCGAAATCAACAAATAAAAGTTTTCCGCTTGAACAATCGCGCGCGCCGTAATGACCACGTAATACAAACAAATTTATTTTTAAATGTTTGTATTGGAAATTAACATATATAGCGGACATATAAATTTACTATTGCATATAATATTGTTATAATAAAACGGTAAATATTAAAATCAAAAAACGCATTAAACTTGTACACAACCAAGTGGTAAATTGCGCTCTCTACTGGTTAGGAATGGACTAGTGCAAAATGGTGTTGCACTACTTTACTTGTTGGCTAAATCGATATTTTCCGAAACGGCTGGAGCGATCGTACTTGAAATTTTTACACGACTTTATATTCTTACATATGACATGGATGGTGCCTTTGACAGCACGTCTCACACGAGCGGAGCAAGAGCATTGGAGAAAATGGATAGAGGCCGTACTGCGCACCAGAATAGCTGAAACCACAGTAGGGGACACCAGTATTAGACGCGGCACTAAAAGAGGCTGTCCACAAGGCTAAATAGTAATGGAATCCGCTGTCAAGGAAATGCGGACTGAACTTCAACCCCTCGAATATAACCATCGTTATCGAGCCATAGGTCGCTGCCTGGTCTCAGGAACCTAAACTGCTGGATCGAACATCGCTTCGCCTAGTAACTGGGCAGGTTGGCAAACACACACTGCTCCAAATGACAGAAGAAGGGATTGGCAGACGTAAGTTAATCTCGCATGAAGAGCTTAAGTGGAAAAATACCACTTTCTCTTCTTCCAAGGGCCAGCATTACCAAAAGTGTAAACTTCACTAAGAAGTTCAAGGTTATCCTAAGAATGGAACGATTCCGCTCTAAAGCTACTGCTTAGAATTAGTACAATCAAATTGTACACTGACGGGAATAGGCGCAGGAGTCGCAGGACCAAAGTAGTAGTTTTCCAAGCCCATTCCAAGAAGACGGTGCGTAAAGATAAACCTCCAACGAAACTATCGCAATGAACGTAAGGTTGGACTTAGCGACAGTCAAGTGGCACTAAACGCAATCTCTGCATACGAGATCAAATCGTTATTGGGGCAGGACCGCAACCAAGTATAATGCCGGCTCACAAAGCTATAGCCGGGAATGAACTGACTGATGATCGCCCGCTCCACCAACATGGTAGAACCCGAACCGCTCATTGCGGTTGGTCCCCATACCATAAAGGCGCTGCTTCGGAAAGCTGAAGTAGTGGGTAGTGAGGGGTATTGGCAAAAATTTCATGGCATACGCCATTATATGGTTACGACCTTCGAAGATTTAAATATTAAATCAACCCCCCAAAGGACAAACTCAGGCTGCTTGTGGCAACATGTCTTTAGCTTCCTGTGCGAATTGTCGACATGGGCTTGAAACTCTTAAGCTCCTGCTAATTGACTGCACAACAGTTTGTAGGCACAGGATAAACGCCTTTGGGTCCATGTTTCCAAATAGGGATCACATCGCCTCAATAGCACCTAGCAGTATATTGGAGCTTACTAAATCACTCAAGAACTGCAACCACACCGTGACGGACCAATTGTGGAACGCGTCAGAAAGTGCGTTTAATTTCTACATAGACAAGTTTCGCATAAGCATTTATAATGAAATCGAATGAAAAACTTTCTCTGGCACATTGTTTAGTGAAGAGCGCGCTTGCGGCCGAACGAGTGAGCGTTGAAGGAGCGTGCGGATGAGGAACTTATTGTGCGTAAGTATCTTCAGCAGAATGTTTACTTACACAAATTACTTACATGTATACATATGTATGTATGTATGGAATGTGTTGTTTGGTCAGTGGGTCTCTTGCATAATTTGTGTAAAGATCATGATCACTCCTTTTTTGGGACTTATTTCAGGTTGTCAAAGGAATTACCATATATACATATTCAAACATATACAAACATACATATATATATATATATATATTTTTTTTTTTTTTGGTTGCGAGTTGAAAACTCGTTCTCAGCTGACATTTCTGTGTCGAAACCGCGGACTACAGCATTCTTTTTATATATTTTTTATGTAACGCCACACACGCATTTAAGCGCACACGTGTATCCGATATTATCTGTATAATTATACAGTTGATATAAAAAGCAGTAGGCTAAAAATATACCTTTTTTATTCAAAATTATGGATCTTGTGCCATAAATGAAACTTCAATGACATTCAAGACGCAAGAAAAGAAGTGATTAGATTAGAAAAATTTTTGTCAAACTAAGTAAAGACTTGTTATAGTTTTCTAACATTTGTTCAACGATAATCGGGTCTATGCAACCGGAGAGAATACGTTCGCAAGACAGTCGAAACTACATAACCTAAACGGAATCGAATTTATATCCAACCAAGCACTGTCAGGAATAACGGTCTAAGTTAATTTAGACATGTTTGTCCCTCGCGAGTAAGTCTCTCAGTTTTTGAGATATCAATTTGATATAATATTTTGCATGCGCGCTTTTCTCTCCGCGAAGCTGCTTATTTGTCGGAGCCGTCGATATCGGACCACTATAGCTAATAGCCGTCATACAAAATGTTCGATCTAGCTCAAGACCTTGTATGGAAAATTTCTTCATTTAACGAGGTGCCATATTGTCCAAGGAGATGCTAAAATTTTTTTTAAAATATCGGTCAGATTGGCCGATTAAAGACAAATTGGATGGAACATATTTTTTCTTAAGATTTTTTTCTTGTTTTTCCTAAAAGTTAGCATTTACTTATTTTTTTTATATATTTGAATATTGGTAAATTATTTAATAAACTACAAATAGCGCTGTTATAACTTAAATTCCGTCTTATGCTGACACTTGGGCATTCCATAAAATTAATTTTGTATGTAATATTTACAAAAAAAAAATGGTTTTTCTTAAAAATACATACATACATATTGTTTACATGTAATTTTTTTTATACATATTTTTTATATAACATTTATTTGATTAAATATACTAAAATTCCAGTTATGAGTTTATTGCCGCCTTTCACATCACGTGTATGTCAAGCTATACAATTAATTTAGAGTACCTCGTTTAATAATGACAAGCTTGGCTCAAAAGTTAAGTGCCTCACACTTTGTTGTTGGTGATTTTTAACATTTTCTCGCACCAAAGCAGCCTTAAATTGGCATAAACGACAAGTGACTTGCAACTACAAGAGCATTGCGTTTATTTACATACATATGTATGTACACATGTTCATACATAGACATGTTATGTACATTCATATTTCTAATATTTACGTTTGTCTATTTTAAGTAAAATCCAGTTGAAAATTAGACCAATTAAACAATTAATTAAACTCATGTCTAATTGATGCGCTAATTTCACATTTTTAATAAATTTGAAGACTATTTTTAAATTCAAACAATTTGTTAAATTTCTGACTAAAAACAATAACTCAGCAAAATAGTTTGATGTTTCGCGAATAATCAATTAAAATAGCGCAAAAACATACAAATTTACAAACATGAACAGCAGCAAATATTTATATACATATAAACATACAGAAACACACGCGCAGTCCCACTTTTAAATAATATTTGAAAAAAAAAAGAATCGCAATATTTGGTATTTAATTATTTACCGTTTAAATTCCGAAATTTCACTTTTTGTTTTGTGTTTTCGCTTTATGTATGTCGAGTGATGAATTGGCGCTTTATTTGTTTTGATATAAACAACGAACAGGCCAGCAGCGACTCAGAGGTGCGATGATGCAGCTTTAAAATACTTAGAAGCAATGAACGCGTAATCGTGATCACAACTAAATGTTTCAGAGCGCAAGGCTTTCAAAAATTTTGAACCGTAACGCTTTAAATCGTTAAGAAGACTGCCGTCGAAATGATCGCGAGCAGCAAACATATGCGTTTGGCAGCGCTTGTTGCAATAAATGCTTTTCTAGAGCTATTGTTATTGTTGTTCTTATTTTTCAATTGTTACTTTTTGTTGTAGTGGGGTTAATGTATTGCCCCTGCGATTGCTAAGCACCTTTTGTCCATTTGCTTGCGAACAACAAAATTAACTTGTTATCGATCGTACCGACATTTGAGCATACAAACCATACAAACCATACATATGTATGTATATGCATATATGAGGCGACCACTATTTACACTATTTATTTACTAGACACTCCTATGCCCTGCTAAGGTTTAAAATAAACGCTTTGTATGATTTTCACGTATTGCTACAATGCCTGTAATATTTGACATTTTGTTGTTGCAATGAAAGCAATTCGATCATTGATCAAGTGGCATGCAAAATAGATGCACTTATGTACATACAAACATAGATATACATTTAAATAAGGCAATACATTTACCTTACATTTTTAGTAATTGGCAGACACCCACTAAAACATAACTCATTCAATTTTATTCGAAAAAAATTACGCTTTTCATCGATTACATAGACTTTAGCGCTTATTTGATAAGCTTATCAGCGGCGTACTTGTCGCTTAGGAACTAAGCTAAAATGAAATCTATAAATCATTGGTATGTTTTTGTTGTTGTTTAGAAAAACCCTCTCCTATAATTGCCGCTTGTCATAGTCGAATGTTTACTTGGGTTCAAAGTTTAATTGCTTTGTATGAAACGTATTCATGTTGTGGCTTCGGTTTTTATTGGTGAGCAACCGTTCCGGCAAATTGTTGCAAAAAAACACACACAAGTGCAAGCTGATTGCAAATATTTTAAATTTGTTAATAAAATGGCTTGTTGTATATCTTCAATTTATGTACATGAATGGCTTCATACATATTTATAGAGTTCAAAAATAGCACTTATGCATATCCCAGATACATATGCCTGTGCTTACATAGAACTATAAAATTTGAACTCTTTTTTCATATGGAAAAGTAATGCATGCGGGTATATTGGCTTTTTTCTAAGAATGTACCAAGTCCATATTAGAAAAATATGACTAAGGCTTTACTTTTACGTGTAAACATCTTGATTTTGATTGGATATGGAAATATTGAAAATATAATTGTATGCCTATAATTGTCTCATTATGTTTGTACATTTACTTTTAAACAATTTCTATATTAAACATTTAGTGATATATGTATGTATGTATGTATAACAAAAAAATACGTCAACTCAGGTTTACATTTTTAGATTTGTTTAAAAAAAATTGTTGTTGGATTCATACAAAAATGAGTTTACACAATTACAATTCTCAACGCTATTTTTTCGGTTCGTTATAATTTATGTATAAAAACTAATAACAACATAACTAAATCGTTATCAATGTATATGTATATATTTTAATAAAGTCCATTGACAGCCTTTTCAAAATAACGGTCAGGTATAACAAGCACTGCCAACGCTTAATTAAATCATTTACTTTACTTAGTTCTGTTTTAATAAGTGAAATTATAAATGATTAAATAAAAATATACATCAATCCATTGTTCATCACATTTGCCCAGCCCACATAAATAAATATGTATGAAAATTTATGTACAAATACATTCACATGTACGGAGCGTTTAATTTATTATGAAATGAGTATCGTCTCAGCGTTTTGTGATTACTCACAACTTTCTTAGCACACGCTTTGTGAGCGGCGGCATTAGCCACAAGCATTCATACGTATAATACCTATTTTCAGCTGACATACAAACATAAGTATATATAAATATTTAAAATTTCGTAACTACTGCTTTGCGTTTCATGTGCGCTAAACATGCAGAGGTAAATGTTAAATAATTAAAGCATCAATGAAAAATTTAACTGTTTTAATGCGGAAGGTATACGTTGATTAGTGCTGTCATTAGCAGCGATGCAGTAATATGTGAAAGTCTGACAAAGGACTATTTGCTTTTCCTGACGCACTTTCTTTAAATGATTTTGATCTTTATTTAAGCATATGCAGAAGCACTTTATAGTCAGAAAAAACCCGCTCTGTTTTATCACATCAGCAGTCACATTATTTTATTTTCATTTCTAAATAAGCTGTCTTACTTTCTTCTTTCCTGTGGCGGAATTCGTATGTGAATAACATAAAAACTTTCACTCAATAAAATACCATCATATATTCTTACCTTAAGGTATTAAATTATTTCTACTGCACTTGAAGTGATTAAAACACAAATCACGTTTATTTCGATTATTTTAAGGCGTATAAAAAAATACTACTTCTATAACAGCTAAGTTTATTATTTTGGGGAATTGTATTCCTTTTCACTCTTATTGAAATAAATTTATTAGCCGCTGGCGTGTACATGAATAAAGGCTGATTTTGACAGTTGCTCAAGTTTACAGCTGTTCCATGTGCAGTGGCTTTCAAAGTGTCATATAAAGGAAACGAGTCAACAAAGCAAATTCATAGGAAATGTTGAAGGAAAAATTAAAATATATATAATATTGTACGTATTTTTAAATAAAATAAAACTTAATAATATAAGTATTTGCACAACGCGTTAAAACTGTTGTTATAGTATGCATTGCTTAAGTTTTTTATTTTAGACCTTGCTTGCTTTCACTTTTTTAACTATTGCTTTTGCATTTGACATTCTTGATCAGCTGAGTGACCATTGTCAATTCGCCGCAAATTGCATTACACACATGGCGTTTATACAACTTTTTAGTTGTTTATAATTTAAATTAAAATAATGTTAAAATCACTATTCCGGTTAGCACCTGCTGGTGGTACATTGCGTCATCATCTGCAGCTATCACAGTGTACAAAACACAGTTTGCTGTCAACAAAAATCTCTTCTGTTTCAGTGACATCGCGTAGCTGTGCCAAAGTAGCCGCGGATGAGAATATCGAAAATGAGGCTAAACCCGCTAAAACCCACTATAATCCATTTACGCAAACACAACCAACATATGGAACCGGCGCAAAAGCTGAACCTCCAGCCAATAATGAGGAATGCGAGAAACTTCTCAAAGTCTTACAGCTCGAAGTCGATATAGCCCATCAAGAGGGACGACGCGTACCGCCTTTAGAGACAATTACCGAAAAGCACTGGGAACACATACTTACATTGCCTTCGAAGTCAGCACGTTACAAGTATTACAATTTCTTATGGCAAGTGGAAGCCAAAAAACAAGCAAAGGAGCGTAAAAAAGAAGAACGTGCTGTGCAAGTGCTGGAGCGAAAGGAGGAAATGCGTAAAGAACGTGAGGAAAATCAACACATCATCTATGGCTTGGGACATACATCACTCTTTTTACGCATCTACGATACGACCATAAATAATTTTCAGAATAACAGGTGACTACCTTCATTACAATGCAATTACCACAACTTATTTTCGCTTTGCTTATACAGATTGATACGCGCCATGCAGTTTTCGCCTAAAATTGTGCTAGACTGTTCGTACGATCGCCACATGACGCGACGAGAGGCGCTGAACGCCGCTAAACAATTGATGTTATGTTTTGCTGAGAATCGTGCGCATGATGATCCTTTCGATTTGCATTACTGCAACGTGAATATGAATAGCGTATGCACGAAAGCTCTCAACCGTTACATACCTACTATGTTCAATACAGAATTTCCGATGAATGTGCATGAAAAATGTTTTACTGAGTTATTTCCAAAAGAAAATTTAGTCTATTTGACCCCACATTGCCGCACAGATTTGGAAGTGTATAATCCTGAAAATGTGTACATAGTAGGCGCAATGGTGGATACGGTAAATAAAGAGCGAAAATCAATACAAATTTTACAAAATCTACAATTTTATTATTGTTTCGTAGGTTAATAATGAACCGCTATCGCTAGCCAAAGCGAAACGTTTGGGTCTGCGCATGGCACGTCTACCGCTCGATCGCTACCTGCAATGGGGCGCAGGTTCAGGCAAGTCGCTAACGCTTAACCAAATGGTCAACATACTATTGGACCTGAAGTCTACCAATGATTGGACGCAGGCGCTGCGGCATGTACCGCGTCGCAAAGTAGTTGATGTATCAGCAGAGAAGCTGCAACAAAAGCGTATACTGGAAAAACGCGCCAAGCAGCTGAATTTCTCTTTCGACAATAACTTCAATGATAAAGATTATAAGCAAAAGCCCAAAATAAGATCATATAAAAAAGATTTCAATTTGGAAACTTGGGGTTCTAAAAAGAAAAATCATAATAGCGACTAATTACACTTTTGTAAGTTTTTAGTTTAGAAAAATATATATAATTATTTGAAACGAAATTATTGACATTAAAAATGATTAAAAAGCAGTAAGTTCCGTTTTATAAAATAATAAGCTGAATTTTTTTATACTATTTAATTGTCGTTTTCAGCCATTTTCTCCACCTCAATAATTTTCTTATAACGCAAAATACTGTTTTTCGAGTTCAAGGCATTATAGTTGATCACCGGCGTTAAATTTAACAACTTCGCATATGACTTCAATTTATCTTCGAATTCCTGTACTACCTCTTTACGCGCCACAGTCAACAGTTTACTCTCCAAAATTAGCAACGCATTGCCACGCAGCACTTCGGCGAAATTACTCTTCAAGAATGGAAAGTAATTGTGTCCCACAAAAACGACATCGAAAAAGTTGCGCCAGTTTTCATTGGAGCTCACGTCTTGCAGCGTGAAAATATCATCGGCCGATAGGAAAAACACCTTGCACTGCTCCACCTGTATCCACGGTTTAGCATACACGCGCACAGCATCCACATCACATTCGTCAAATGTGAGCCTCTCGCCCATTAGCAACTTAACCGAACCATATTTACGCGAAATTTTACGATCATGCGTGTAAGCGGTGCGCGTTTGCAATTCATGAAAATATTCGAGTAGATTGCGTTCAGTAATGTCTGTTGCACGATAGTCATTATCGCCATGCACCGAGTTCATCATTTGCTTGTCGGCGGTA